AGAAACTTGAGTTTTAAGGGGTGTTCTTTTGAATCTGGCGGGCAGCGTACAATGGGCTGCCCACCTAGCAGGCGGGCCCAAGAAAAACAGGTGTAACTCACTTAAAATGGCCCAGCGGCGTGAAATTTTGACGAAGAGATTGAAAGGGGATGCTGTCGGACCAATCCCAACCATTTCCAGCAATTTTCAAATTTTTCATTTTTGGCCAAATTTACAAATATAGCCTTTGTATTTTTAGCGAAAATTGATGGGTCCAGATTTCGACGGAAAAGTAGTCAAATCGACAAGGGTGAACCAGGGGACCACAAAATTAAAGGTTGCCTAACGCGCAATATATAAAAACTCTGCTGTAATGGGTCGGCACCATGATATTTACACAGAGCAAGCAGAAAGGGAGTCTACCCGACCTATCCAAACCTATTCCAGCAATTTACCAAATTGTCAAGATTTTTATAGACATTTTTAATGATAACAAATCAGCCTGGATTTTGATGGGGGAGTATTCAAATTGTCAGGGAATGACCAAGGCACCACAAAAACCATCAAAAAGTACCTTTTGATGCATACTAAAGGAAGTTTCTCATAAAATTTGTACAGGAGAAAATAGGACAGTGTTGGTTACTGTCATGTCAACTTACCTACACTTTCAGGTAAAATGACACCATAGACTTCTTTGCTCATGTCAAGAACAAACATTTCCCGGTAAAGTTCCTGCAATCATATTAAACAGTACTTTTAGCGCTATTTTTTTATTGCTTGCTTTAATTTATTACTCAACAGTATTAATTACATAATTTACTCAACCAACACACTTTTAACTGCCTCTCCCCGCATACACTAAATGACCACGCGCTTACAAATAACTAATTTGGGACTGGACTCAAGTACTAGAGTACGTAACATATCCCTCTGAACATACTGCAGGCTGTGTACAGCCCCCAGATGCCTTTTCCACAATTATTAGGACAGTAGTGGACAGCTGCAAATTAGCTGCAATGCACATTGTTTGATTGTTTGGGGGATTACGCAAATAGAACCACTCAGTTTGAACCCCAACCAGAAAGTTATGAATTTTTCTGTTCCACGAGAACAATACAGAGTAAAATATATGATATATGATAATACAATTGACAGTTCACCCATTTGCAAATGTCTTAACAGTATTTAACATGCATGGAATGGAGGAGTGTACCCATTCAACACCATCTCAACAAAGCTTACAAGTGAGCATAGTTTACAGAACGGGCATCATTTACTCTGCCTGCCTCGAAAAATAACTTACCACTTGTGTGTGTAAAAGAGCCACTGGAGCACTTTAACCTCCTACAATAACCGGAATTACAGAACATTTAAATATTCTGGAAACCACCAAACACTATCCCTTGCGATTTATATCAAAAAGCGCC